CTTTAGGGATCCCTACAAAAAGGAGGATGGGAGAGGAGGAAACAGAGTTATAGGTAACGATAGGTAGGAGAGGAACCAGGAGAGAGCAGAGTCTTGGAGGCCAAGAGAGTGGCGTTTTTTGAGGAGGAGGGGATGGTCAACAGTATCAAAAGCTGCAGAGAGGTCAAGTAGTAAGAGTACGAAGTAGTGGCCATTGGTTTTAGCAGTTAATAAAGCATTAGTGAGTTTTAGTAGGGCACTTTCAGTGGAATGTAGTGAGCGAAAGCCAGACTGTAAAGGGTCAAGAAGGTTGTTGCCAGTGAGGTAGGAGCTCAGGCGATTGTAGACTAAGCATTCTAAGAGTTTAGAGGTAAACGGGAGCAGGGAGATGGATCTTAAGTTGTTCAGGTTGGTGGGCTCCAGGGAGGGCTTTTTAAGTATGGGAGTGAGGTGTGCATGCTTTAGAATGGTGGGGAAGGCACAGTTAGAGAGGGAGAGATTGAAGTTGTGAGTGAGGGAGCATAGGACAGAAGAAGAGGGTGACCGTAGTAGTTGACAGGGGACAGGATCCAGGGAGCAGGTAGTGAAGTGGGCTTCTGAGAAAACCTTACTGACCTCTTCGGTAGTAGCAAGGTTAAAAGAGGAAAGTGTTGAGGGAGGTTTAGTATAAGGTATGCTAAGTGGGATGAACGGCTGTGCAGTAGAGATGCCTCTACGAGGTGGAAGTGGAGAAAGTAGAGCGTTAAAAGTAGAGAAGAGACGAGGACAGGATGGCAAGCTATTGATGAGTGACAAAGTAGGCTTGCTTGACAGCATGGAGGGAGGAATTGTAGGTTAAGAAAGCAGACCTCCATACATTGTCCACTGCAGCCCAAATAGTGATGCTCCCGAAACCTGGAAAGGACCCTCGTGACCCCCATAACTTTAGACCAATCTTGTTATTAAATGTCGATATCAAAATCTTAGTGAAAATACTTGCCACTTGCATTAACTCCTTCTTGCATCAGCTCATCCACAAAGATCAAAGGGGCTTTGTCCCCCTCCGGCAGGCTTCGGATAACATCTGCAAAGTTGTCCACTTAATCCATCTAACTGCAACAACACAAATTGCCTGGCATGCTTCTGAGTCTGGACATACACAAAGCATTTGACTCACTTTTCTGGGAATATATGTATTATGTTTTAGGAAAATGGGCTTTCCTGCCTACTGTCATATCCTGGGTACGAGCTCTCTATCATGGTCCCTCTGCCACAGTCCACTACCTCTCTAGAAAATCCACCCCCTTTCCTATTCATAGAGGAACACGTCAGGGATGTCCTCTCTACCAAATACTTTGTCTTGGCTCTAGAGCCCCTACTTTGCCTCATTAGAACCAACCCAGATGTGAAAGGAGTCACATTTGCCCAACAATCAAATAAAGTTAGTGCATTTGCAGATGACCCAATTTTGACACTGCCTCAACAGCAAACCTCCCTACCCACACTTTTCCCATCTTAACAAAATTTTCTGCCATATCGAGTTTAATAGTACATAAAGGCAAATCTTCAGCACTCAACCATTTCCCTTCCTGCAGCTGACGTGAATTTGTTGAAACAAAACTAAAATTTTGTCTAGCCCTCTAAACGTGGAATATATTGGGGATTAATCTCACAAACTCCTATTACACATTGAGGCCAATTATATTATATAAACTCTGCTTGCAACCTGGTCGCACCAACCTCTCTCATGGATGGGTAGAATGAATGCAGTGAAAATTACTATTCTTCCCAAACTATTATACCTATTCAGCACCCTTCCTGTCCCAGTTCCTTCTTATGTTTTGAAAGCCTTTCAATCTCATGTTTTACGTTTTATATGGGCTAGCAATGATCTCGGGTTACCAAATACACCATGCATAAACATCGAAAATGGGAGGCCTGGGAGTTCCTAACTTCTCTAAGTACTAGATGTCGGCTCAAATTGCACCCTTAACCTCATTGTACACAGCACACTTAGCCCCAATGTGGGTCACTCTAGAAACGCTTTCTTGCCAAACCGATCTCCCTTACATCGCTTTTATGGCTTCCCCCGAAATTCAGACCCAAGTCTATTAGTCCTCTCATGACCCATTCATTGCGAATATGGGATTCCACAAAATACACCAGCAGCTTAATTTCCCCTCACTTACCACTCCTCCCCCTTGTGGGTAATCCCATGTTCCCTCCTGGTCTCGAATCCCCCGCTGCATTTCAGTGATGGATCTCTCATAATTTTCACTGCATCCATTCGTTCCTTACAGGTCGCTCGGGTTTACTCTTGGGCAGAGTTACGGGATAAACATTGAACCCCTTCCTCCGGACTGTTTCGATACTTACAGATAAAACATTGGATAACCTCAATCCTTACTGACAATAACCCCACCACACAATTATCTCTATTCGAACACATCTGCCACCGGACACCTCTTTCTCCTAAACTTTTCTCCGGTCCTGTACTTGCAATCAACCTATCTACAGACTCCTAAAGATCACGCTTACATCTCTAGATGGGAAAAGAATCTTAATAGCACCAAAGATCATGCATGCTGGTCGCAGATTTTGTCAACCCTGACCTCAAGCTCAGTTAATGTCCTCACTGTGGAATCGGCGTTTAAAAAACAGTCACACAGTGGTACCTTGTACCATCCAGCGTAGCATTTTTACACCCATCAGCCCTTAATACCTGTTTCCGAGGGTGCAATGCACCAGGCGATGTTCTACACATTTGGTGGACATGCCCAAAGCTTTTCCAATTTTGTCCAGAGTTCTCAAGCTACTTCAAACACTACTCATGAGCCCCTTTCCAAGGGACCCCTGGTATACTCTCTTACAAAAAAAAACACAAGCTTGTCCAAACATCAATTCAAACTTGCCACCTATGTTTTACTGGCAGCTAAACAAACCATAGCGAAAGCATGGAAACAGCGATTCGTGTCCTATACAGAAGTTCACGGTCATCTCAATTTCTTCTTGACCAACGAGAAACTGTCTAGTATCCTCTTAGACACCTACAAAAGATTCCTTTACATTGGGACTCAATGGATCCAACATGCTCACCTTGTGATTTCAGCGGCCAGTTTCACCACACTATAGCAGTCTTAACCCTTACAACTTGAACCTAGAGGTTTCAGATGTCCACTTCACACTGTCTTTTTTCCTCTGCTGTTCTTATCTTTTCAGGACGGAACCCCCCCCCCCCGTTTTTTTTCCTGGCTCTTACACAGGGATGCCGCACAGACCATGAGGTGTATTCTACACTTCCCGTTTTGAAAGCGATTTAGCGTATCCTTCATAGAAACACTTTTTGCAAACGTTAGATGTTGATTCTCACAAAGTATCATTCGTGTATCAGCCACCTGACACGTCTGGTCGTTTGCTTAGCTGTTTATGATGTTCATTTTTCAAGTTTTGCGGTAGTCATATCGTTTTGCACTGTCAGTTGTTTACCTTTGTAACACTGAATATTTGCACTAGCATGCAGTCATGTTTGTACGCTGTAATTAAACTTACTTAAAAACCTAATAAAAATGTACTGAAAAGAAAGCTATACTGGAGATTCACCAACCTAGGGAGAAATTACACACTTGGCTGAACAAGAGCAGGCTGGTCAAGAGAAGGGGCATGCTTGTTTCAGCTCAACAAGATTTGTTTGAAATGTCTCAAATTAAACAAATGGAACAGCATTGAATGAGGCCACCTTAATCCCAGAGTACTCATGAAAAATGTCAGAGATATCTCTGACTTTAAGTCCTGAACATGGGTTCTGAGAAAAAAAAAGTGGTTTCTTCTCTGGAAGGTATATCTTGGGCTGGGATGTGTCCAGGATTAGACCAAGGTATTACAGATGGAGAAGGTTGGAGAGCAGAATTTTGGAAGTTGATTAAACAATGCCAGAGGAATCTGAATTGTCCTGTGGATGTTTGCAGATAGATGGAATGGAGAGGATTCCTTCAGGTGGTCATCTAGCTAAACTGAACATGATGCCCTGAGTTCGTAGGAGTGTAATAACCTTTTGGAACACGCTGGGAGCAGAGGATAGGCAAAATGGCAGTGCGACAAGCTGGAATGGATTACCTCCTACTTCAAGTTATAGAAAGCTCAGAATAAGTGGCTAAATGAGAGTATGGAGATTGGCATCTTGTATCTTTGGATGCAAAGTGTTCCAAAGTCTCAGATAGGCAATAACTGACTTTGCAAATTACATACTAAATTTTGGATTTTGAAAGTATTATTGGTTTGGGTCCACAATAGGATGCACACCTGCATTCGGGCTTTGGTACAATGAACAAGTTTGAAAGGAATCCTTTAACCCCATCATGACCCAGGTCAAAACTAAGGAAAAAATGGATGAGGAAATAAATAGTCAAATTCTTGAGGAAAATCCGCTGCCTTCTACCAGAATTATCAATGGGAAGGTGGTTTACCTTCCAACATGACAATGACCAAAAGCACACAGCAAAAAATCACCACACAGTAATTGAAGTAGAAAAAGGAGAATGTCCTTGCATGGCCTAGTCAGAGCCCAGACCTAAACCCCATTGAAAATCTGTGGAATAACTTGGACTGCAGTCCACAGACGGTCACCATCAAATGTAACTTAACTTAAGCAGTTCTGCAAACAGAGTGGGCAAATATTGCAGTCTACATGTGCAAACTTAGAGATATATCCCAACAGACTGAAGGTAATTAAAGCAAAAGATGGTTCAACAAAATACTGACACAAGGGGTGATCCTTTTTCCAACTCAGTGATTGTTTTTGATTTTTTAACATTTTTTCTGACATGTTGGTGTTATGTCTATTACTTGGATCTTAGTAGTTGCACTGAGTAAATACAGCTGGATAATACAAAAATGGTGTGTGTCTTCATTTCAGGCTGTAAAGCAACAAAATGATTTTAAAGGAGGTGAATCTTTTCTATATTCACTATGCGTGTACACTACATCGCCAAAAGGTATTGGGACACCCCTCCAAATCATTGAATTCAGGTGTTCCAATCACCTCCATGGCCACACACAAGTGTATAAAATCACCTAGCACCTAGGCATGCAGACTGCTTCTACACACATTTGTGAAAAAATGGGTCGCTTTCAGGAGCTCAGTGAATTGAATCGTGGTACCGTGATAGGGTGCCACCTGTGCAATAAGTCCATCCATGAAGTTTCCTTGCTACTAAATATTCTACAGTCAACTGTTAGTGGTATTATAACAAAGTGGAAGAAACTGGGAACAGCAGTAACTCAGCCACAAAGTGGTAGGCCATGTAAAATGAAAAGAGTGGGGTAAGCGCATGCTAAAGCGAACAGTGCGCAAAAGTTGCCAACTGTATGCAGAGTCAATAGCTAAAGACCTCCAGACTTCGTGTGGCCTTCAAATTAGCACAACAGTGTAGAGAGCTTCATGGAATGGGTTTCCATTGCCAAAGGCTGCATTAAAGCCTTCTGTCACCAAGAGCAATGCAAAGCGTTGCATGCAGTGGTGTAAAGCATCCAGTCACTGGACTCTAAAGCAGTGTAGACGTGTTCTCTGGAGTGCGGAATCACACTCCTCAGTTTGGCAATCCGACGGACGTGTCTGGATTTGGTGGTTTTCAGAACGGTACTTGAATGGCTGCATTGTGCCAAATGTAAAGTTTGGTGCAGCGGGGGATTATGGGGTGGGGATTTTTTTTTTCCAGGGGTTGGCCATGACCCCTTAGTTCCAGTGAAGGGAACTCTTAAGTCATCAGCATTCCAGGACATTTTGGACAATTTTATGCTCCCAACTTTGTGGGAACAGTTTAGGGGGATCTCTCTCTCTCTCTCTCTCTCTCTCTCTCTCTCTCTCTCTCTCTCTCTCTCTCTCTCTCTCTCTCTCTATATATATATATATATATATATATATATATGCAAGTGTGGAAAAAAAATAAAATGTAAACCATGCTTTCAGAAATAGAATTGTTAGTTTATTTTGATCAAATTACCAAAATGGAAAGTACATTACAACCCTTCAAAAACAACAAATTCTTCCAAGTACACTTGCACACAGTTCTTGAAAAAACTCAGCAGGTAGGTTGTTCCAAGCATCTTGACGAGCTAACCATGGATTTTCTGTGGATGTAGGCTAAATCTGATTCTTCTGTCTCTTAATTTAATCCTAGACAGACAATGTTGAGATGAGGGCTCTGTGGGGGCCAAACCATCACTTCCAGGACTCCATGTTCTTTACGATGAAGACAGTTCCTAATGACATTGGCTGTATGTTTTGGGTTGTTGTCCTGCTGTAGAATAAAATTGGGGACAATCACATGCTTCTCTGATGGTATGGCATGATGGATAAATATCTGCCTGTATTTCTCAGCATTGAAGACACCATTGATTCCCATCCAATCTCCAATTGCAGAAATGATTTAGTGTATAGTTGAACCACTTGACTGTTTCTACATCCTATGCACAAAATATAGGAACCTGGGTGCAGAAAAATGACAGCACGTGGTCCGGATTGAGTCGTCAAAATTTGAAATATTTGGCTGTAGCAGGAGGCAGTTTGTTCTCGAAGGGCTGAAGAGTGTCTGAAGGCAACAATAAAGCATGGTAGAGGTTCCTTACAAGTTTGGGGCTGCATTTATGCAAACTGAGTTGGAGATTTGTTCAGGATCAATGGTGTCCTCAATGCTGAGAAACACAGGTAGATATTTATCCATCATGACATACTGCTAATGTAATTTAGAACTATCTTCAGCATAAAGAACAAGGAATCCTGGAAGTGATAGTTTGGCCTAAGAGGGGTGTTCAAGTCAAACCAGGACTTTTGAGTTTATTTGATAAAAACAAAATTTCAAGGAATGGAAACTGCATTTTTTGACATATTTCCCTGCTACATTTGAAAACTTATCCCAGCGTTTAACGAATGCCAGGAAAGCTTCGGCATAGAAAGATTTGTCAGTATGCCTATTTTAGGATGTTCCTGAAAGATTGTTTTTTCTTTTTAATTTTTATGGTCACCATGCCCACAGAAAGATTAGTCTCTTGTGCAATTTCATAACAAGTCAGGGGCGGACTGACAACTCATGGGGCCCCCGGACAATAGGGGATCATGGGGCCCGTGTCCCACACTCAAAAAAGCCTATAAAAAAGGTACCAGGCAGGGGCGGACTGACAACTCATGGGGTCCCTATGTGCAATTTCATAACAGAACAGGTTATGCGTCGATTATACAGGATCAGGCGTTCCACGCGCTGAATGTTCTCAGGAATGACTACTGTGGGCTGGGAACCACCACGGCTGGGATCTCACATACGACCATCTTTGAATCAATTACACCATACAAATGTCTGCGGCTGAGCGTCTCATCACCATACTGTGCTTGAAGTCTTCTGTAGATACCAGTGGGTTTTACACCTTCGTTCACACAAAAAAAAAAAAAAAAAAAAAACTTCACCACATGCTGTTCTAAGCACACACTAACACTGTTGTCTGCCATCTTGATTAACGGTATCTGGACTGGCCCACGACATGTGCACCGCCTATCAGTAATAGGACACACTTGCCATTTACTACTGTATGTAGTACTGCCAGGCTAGCATCCCTTTTTATACCTGTAAAATTAAAAGTCCCGGTTTGACTTGAACACCCCTCGTATTAACTATTTCTGAAGGATTCTCAATTTACAGTATTTTTTCACACCTACCTAAAACGTTTACCCAGTACTGTATAATATATATATTTATAAGTATTGAACACATATTTCTAGGTAAATATATTGCTAAAGGTGCTATTGATATGACATTTTCACCAAATGTTGGTAACAACCCATACGATCCATACAAAGTAACCAAAACAAATACATTAAGAAATTAAGTTGTGTAATAAAATGGAATGACACAGGCAAAAAGTATTGAACGCATGAAGAAAGGGAGGTGAAAAAAGGCATGGAAAGACATCAGCTGAAATCTATCAGTAATTAGAAAGCAATCCTGCCCCTTGTCAGTGCAAATTAATATCAGTTGTTTCATTCTAAACTGGTGGCCTATAAAAAGGCGTCATTGCAAGGTGTCACACAAGAAATATCTCATGATGAGTAAAAGCAAAGAGCTCGCTCAAGACCTTCACAATCTCATTGTTGCAAAACATACTGATGACATTGGTTACAGAAGGATTTCTAAACGTCTGAACATTCCAGTGAGCACTGTTGGGACCATAATCTGGAAGAAGAAAGAACATCATTTTACCATAAACCGGCCACGACCAGGTGCTGCTCGCAAGAATCCTAACAGAGGAGTGAAAAGAATTTACATAAGAGTTGTCCAAGAGCCAAGGACCACTTCCTGGGAGCTTCAGAAAGACCTGGAATAAGCAGGTACAATTGTTTTAAAAAAAAAAAAAAACACAAAGTAATGCACTCATCCTCCATGGCCTGTATACACTCTCACCACGCAAGACTCCATTGCTAAACAAAAGCCATGTTGAAGCTCGTTTAAAGTTTTCTGCAAGACATTTAGACATGCAGTTCTGTGCGGTGCAATTTCAGCCCATTCAATTTGAATGGGCTGAAATCACATTGAAAAAGTAGTGCATGCACTACTTTTGGTTCAAACACACTGCAGGCAAAAGACCTGCATTTGCAGAGGGTGTCAATAAAAGGTTAACACCCCAGACTCCAAATGTAATGTGTTTTTCATGCAGTTTGAATTTCACAGGAACACACATCACATTCCTGTGTTTCAGATGTGGGCATGGTGTGAACCAGCCCTTAAGATGAAGCCTTTTATCCTACTTTAAATACACTAACAAACTGAAGCCAAACTGCAGTTCACACCTTATAATCAGTTACAGCAAACATTTATTTTTCTTTTTGGTTTCATGGCCTGGTCATGAAGGGGGTGGGGGGGTAAATCTTCTGGTGCTGAAGCGGATAATATTTACTATATTTTTATAATTTTTTATATTTAGAACTCTTTATATAAATTATTTTATTCATCACACTCATTTATATATGTTCATGATGAATATATGCAGCTTAATGAATTAATATTAGTATGAATAAAGTTTACCTGTGATATCGCATTGGAACAAGTTTGGATCTACTTTGATACGAGTCAGAGGACAGAGCCATGTGATGTCACTTCCGGTCACGGCCGACCGTTGGGGTAGCATATATACACTATGTTGCCAAAAGTATTGTGACACCCCAACCGGTCACGGCCAACCGTTGGGGTGTCCCAATACGTTTGGCAACATAGTGTATATTTGCTACATAAGATATTGGTTCACTAATAGTTTATTATTTATATTTTTGAATAGGATTTGCAGCACTGAGATTACACTTTGAGCGTTTACTTTAGATTACATGCACCAGTATTTTTATTTCTAATAACTTATTGTGGAGTGTTACACAGTTAGGTGTTAGCAGCATTCGATTTAGTTCTAAAGTTTTAAATTACACAAGCTGATAATGCAGGAGTATTTTTCTTTCAAAGCCTTAAGGTTTTACCTTACTGCACTCAATGCATTAAGGTAAAAAAAATATCTTCTGTAACTATGATTCCCCCCCAAATACTTATCTGAGCCCTATTTCGATCCAGTGCTGTGCTTAAAAACAGCGGCTCTATGGACGCAGACAGCTGAGGAAGTTGCTACCTATGGGGGCACTCACTGAAGAAGAGACAGGAGCACCAGGGAGACCCAAGCAGAAGGATCAGGGCTTATAGATCTTGTATGTATAACATGTTTATTATTTTAATGGAAAAAAATCTCAAGCTTTACAAATCACATTACGTCTGCATAGAGCGCTAATGTGTTCTGCATTTTGAAGAGGTAGAAACAACTGAAGAGGGATTTTATAACCTTCCTGAAACATCTTTGATTAATTTGTAAAGTGTCTTACAAAGACTTCATCCTTCAAAAGGCATGTATAGAAGCCAAAAAATGTGTGCATCTAAATGGGAGGTTAGAACTATTCTATAAAACTACTTATTACAGGGCATTTACATAAAAGAGCAAGGCAGAATATATTTGCTCATTTAAAGTATGGTCCAGGAATATAGTATTGTGTTGGTTATTCATTACTCTAGTCCAGCTAGCTGCAGTTTGACAGGCAGAAATCACATCATTAGATGGTTACAGAGAAGGTGTAATAACAGCCTCAAACTTCATATCTGCAGAATCTTTGAATAAAGGAACCTCTGCAACTAGCAGAACAAACCACATATTAATGAACTCTTTTCCCACTAGATAGCGCTTGGCAATGATTTTCATTGGAAAAATCTTTCCTGGACTGATTCAATTATCAAATTGCTCATTCTATTTGTTCATGAATGGGGAACATCTTTTTGGATTTAATAGATTGCTTTGAAGGAAAATCGAGTACGACAATGCTGTGGCTCTTTCGCACAGCAGAAATTAGCATATTGCCCATCAGTAAGCATATTGTGTGAAACTGCCGTTTCAGTTGTGTACAAGTCAGAGGGTGAGAAATCTTCTGCAACCTCCTCTAGCACTGCCTCCAGGTCTGCTTTCCCTTCGAATATCCACCTCTTCTAGTTCGAGCAAATCAGGAAGTGACTCAGGTAGGAGATAGTGGAGATGGAGAAGAGGGCTGGTGTTTTTGAGCTCTGGACAGAAATGGCTGTATTAAAGCCAATACTAAATTCCAGAAAGTCTGACTGTTGCAGAAATATCTGACTTGTCAGGTAGGCTGCTTATGCACAGTAGGGAGGGGAACACAGAGTAAGCTTAGCTTGTCCAGAAGAAATATGGAGCAACCCCGGCATACCATTCTTTAGTGCAGTCCTCGTGGCAAAAGGGCAGAAGGAAGCACCCGAGTGCCTTATGAGGGCTCTAGGTGGAAGCGATGATAAATTGTGTGATCAGTGGTGTGATTAATACCTGGTCATCCACTGGAGACTGAGCAGTTGAGTTTTAGTGCCAAGATTGAAAAGTTTATACTATAAAAGTGAATACATTCCAAACAGAGCCCCAGTTTTTTACATTAGCAGACAGAGATGTACCTGTCCAAAACACTGGTCTTGATAAAGGGTGCAAGCGTTGCCTGTCATGGTGGGCATACCCCCCAAAAGGGGTCTTCAGGGTTTGGGTTCCATAGGGATGAACCACGGTCCTGGACCTATATGGCACTCTACAGCTCATTTTTAAATTCTTAACAAGGTGGAGAATAATCCATTTGAAATAGAACGAACATTGAACACTTGAAGCAACAGCAAAGCGAAGGTTAAAAAGACTCATGTACAAAGCAAAGCAAAATAGAAATCCACTGACCTCTGATTTCTTTCTGCAGAAACTTAGTTGTACTAGGAAGACAAATGCTTTCACGATCCTAACAAAAATAAAATACACAAATTAACAAAAATAAAGCATTCATAAAATTACAGTGTGCAAGTAAAAGACTACTCTTTACATTTCCAGCAGGTTCGTTTTTCGGTAAATCCTCAGAATGATCAGCAGACCCTTTTTTCATTCCAAGCTTGCAAGTTTCCATAAAGCACTGATTCAGAAGGTTTCTGTAAAATAGGGATATCAATTATTGCAACAAAATGCTGTTTAAAACCATCTATTTAAAAAAAAACTGACTTCGATCAGTAATACAAGTGGATACTTACTCAGGTGGTGTTTTCACTGTAGTGAGCTATGAACAAATAATAATTGCAATTACAAAAAAGAATGCATGAATACACCCATTACTGTAAACTTTAGCGAGAACAATTACATAAAATAAAGAACAAGTCCAATATTACTTAGACCGATAAAAGGATTTACTTAAAGCCGGACTTCACTGCATCTGAGCACCACAAACAAAAAATGCCATTTAAATGTATTTTTAATATTCAAAGCTTCCACATCCATCCCTGTCTCCATGCTTTATTTTGCAGAGAAATCACTGAAAAACACCCCCTAGCATTTTTGGCTGTGGCCATCTTGAGTAAGGGCAGATGATTCAGGTAACATTTACTTCCTGGAATCCATCTGCCCTTAGCTCAGCCAAGTCGGCAACAGGGTGTGCATAGCTGAGAAAACCCCGCTTTTCCTCTTGAAGACTCCTGGCATGTATGACATCATTTGCCTAGGCATGGAAACAAGTTAAAAAAAAATTAAAAACAAGTAAATATGATATATTTTCCCTATTTACTGATGCTAGCAGCCTAAGGCTTCATGCATACTGGCCTTTTTTGACAACTGCTTCTAGGGGCAGCAGGTATTTTTGTTTCTTTCCCCCGCCAGGAGCAACTGAGTTTGTCAGAAAAAACGACTGATGCTGCCAAATGCGCCTAAATACTAGCCGCATTTAGCACTTGAGAGTTATTTGAATAGCCAGAATAAATTTTTATTCTGGCCAAATAAAAGAATGTCCAAGCTCTTGAAGCCTGCAAACACGCCTAAAAGCTTGTAAAAGCTTTATACACTTTTACAAGCATTAGGCTTTTTTTCTGCCAAAAACCCTGCTGCCCGGAGGAAAGATTTCTAGGAGAGTTTGAAAAATGTCCTGTGTGCATAAAGCCTAAGGATTAAAAAGTAGTCGGTGTTGACTGAGAGGGTGAAGTTCCACTCTGAAAACAAGACATAGGGAAACTTGCCAAAAAGCCTTTACAAACAGTTTGTAATTAAAATAAAAGACTAACTTCATTAAGGGACAAACATATTTTACCTTTAGGTTATACTGCCATTTACAGAAGGATTGGACAATTGCAAAAAAAAAAAAAAAAACAAAAAAACTATAGGACAAAACGGGATAACCCTATCAGTATTGCAGCAGTACAGAAGCATAACCATAAACAGAGGAATGGGACTTTAACCACTTGCCCTCCAGAGGATTTACCCCTCTTCCTGACTAGGCCCTTTTTTGCTGTTCGGCACTGTGCGATTTCAACTAATTGTGCGGTCGTGCAACGCTGTGCCCAAACGAAATATATGTCCTTTTTTTCACACAAATATAGCTTTCATTTGGTGTTATTTGATCACCTCTGTGGTTTTTATTTTTTATGCTATAAACTTTTGGTTATAAAAAATATCCAATAAACTAAAAGGTTAGTCATAAAATTAGGCTAAATTGTATTCTGCTACATGTCTTTGGTAAAAAAAAAAAATCTCAATACATATATATTAATTGTTGTGTGTGAAAGTTATATCATCTACAAAACTATGGTATATATATTTGGAATTTACGTAGCTTTTACTTTCTGACTGCCAATCACATTTCTTGAGGTGCTAAAATACCAGGGCATTACAACCCTCCCTCCAAAAGACCCCTTTTTGGAAACACCCTAAGGATTTTGCAGAGAGGCATGTTGAGTGCATGGAACATTTTATTTTTTTGCCACAAATTTTTTTTTTTTTTAAACACAAAGTTGTCACTTTAATGATATATTGCTCACAAAAGCCATGGGTATATGTGGAACAACAAATCAAAACACATTCTCCTACTTCTTCCGAGTATGGGGATACCACATGTGAGACTTTTTGACAGCCTAGCTACATACAAGCCCTCAAAATCCAATGACCACCTCCAGGCTTTCAAAAGGGCATATTTCCTTATATCACTTCCCCACTACCTATCACAGTTTTGGAGGCTCTAAAATGCCAGAATAGTACAAACACCCCTTGACCCTCTGTCTGGAAAGTGCTGTTTGCCCCTGTGCCGATCACATGCATTTTCCAAAAGAAAAGAAAAAAAAAAAAACTCTCTAGCAATAAGCATCAAACTGTGCAGCCTGCTCCCAAGGATCTGCTCCATCAGGAGATAAGCAGAGGACAGTAGAAGGAGAGGATCAGAGAAGACAGGATTAAACATCTTTTTCACACAATGCAGAAAATTAACCCCTTAGGTTACACAGGGTATACCGAGCATGCCTTACCGCATACACAGACTGATTTTACAGCTGCGAGTTTAGTAACACTAAGAAAAAAATTTATGGCAAACACAAAACAGGAATATTGATTTGCCTGCACAATCCACAATTTAGAGTACAGTACAAAGCTCAGGTATATTATTCATATACCATGTCCTTAAACAATGAATGCAAGGGTGGAAAACAATGAATGCAAGGGTGGACAACAAAAAGGTAAACTGAACTCATGGGATAGTACAGTGGCTACGTGGTTAGCACTTTAGCCTAGCTGCACTACTGTTGGTCCAAACCCCAATCCTGGCACTACCTGCATGGAGTTTACATGTTCTCCCTGTGCCTGCATGGGTTTCCTCCCACACCTCGAAGAAATGCTGATGGGTTAATTGGCTCTGGTCTATAATGGCCCTAGTGTGAATTAGGGACCTTAGAAAGTAATCTCCTTGAGGGCAATGTGATATACACTTTATTGCCAGAAGTATTGGGACACCCCTCCAAATGATTGGATTCAGGTGTTCCAATTGTCTGCATGGCCACGAATGTATAAAATCAAGCACTTAGGCATGCAGACTGATTCTACAAACAGTTGTGAAAGAATTGGTCGCTCTAAAGAGCACAGTGAATTCAAACAAGGTAGCATGATAGGTTGCCACCTGTGCAATAAGTCCATCCATGAAATGTTAGTGGTATTATAACAAAGTGGATGCAACTGGGAACAGCAGCAACTCAGTCACGAAGTGGCAGGCCCCGTAAAATGACAAAGCGGGGTCAGTGCATGCTGAAGCGCACAGTGCGTAGAAGTCACCAACTGTCTGCAGAGTCAATAGCTAAAGGCCCTTCAAACTTTGTGTGTTCTTCAGATTAGCACAACAGTGCGTAGAGAAGGTTTCCATGGTCGAGCAGCTGCATCCAAGACTTACATCATCATATGCAATGCAAAGAGTCAGATGCAGTGGTGTAAAGCACACCACCACTGGAGTCTAGAGCAGTGGAGACTTATTTTCTGGAGGAATCACGCTTCTCTGTCTGGCAATCCGATGGACGTATCTGGGTTTGGCGGTTGCCAGGAGAATGGTACTTGCCTGACTGCATTGTGTCGTGTTAAGTTTGGTGGAGGGGGGGATTATGCTGTGGGGTTGTTTTTCAGGGGTTGGGCTTGGCCCATTAGTTCCAGTGAAGGACACCTTTGGACCACTGAGCAACAGACCAGGTCTGTTTTTCTTTAGCCCAGTCCTCTTTTCTGATGAGAGCAACTTTTGCATCTCATTTGGAAACCAAGGACCCAGAGTATGGAGGAAGAATGGAGAGGCACACACTGCAAGATGCTTGAAGTCCAGTGTGAAGTTTCCACAGTCTGTGTTGATTTGGGGAGCCATATCATCTGCTGGTGTTGGTCCACTGTGCTTCATTAAGTCTAGGGTCAATGTAGCCATCTACCAGGAGATTTTGGAGCACTTCATGCTTCCTTCCGCAGACCAGCTTTATGGGGATGCGGACTTCATTTTCCAGCAGGACTGGGCCTGCCCACACTGCCAAAAGCAACAAAACCTGGTTCAATGACCGTGGGATTACTGCACTTGATTGGCCAGCAAACTCGCCTGACCTGAACCCCATAGAGAATCTATGGGGCATTGCCAAGAGAAAGATGAGAGACATGAGACCGAACAATGCAGAAGAGCTGAAGGCCGCTATTGAAGCATCCTGGTCTTCCATAACACCTCAGCAGTGCCACAGGCTGATAGCTTCCATGCCACGCCGCATTGAGGCAGTAATTGCTGCAAAAGGGGCACAAACCAAGTACTGAGTATATGCATGCTTATACTTTTCAGAGGTCCGATCTTGTTCTATGTACAATCCTTGTTTTATTGATTGCATGTAATATTCTAATTTTCTGAGATTGTGGATTTGGGGTTTTCATGAGCTGTAAGCCATAATCATTACAATTCTGACAAATCACGGCTTGAACTATCTTGGTTTGCATGTAATGAGTCGATCTCATATATTAGTTTCACCTTTTAAGTTGCATTATTGAAATAAATGAACTTTTGCACAATATAATTTTTCGAGTTTCACCTGTAAAGGTTTTCTGACAAATCTGTTTGTGTGTGCTGAGCAGTGCACGTGCCTATATTAAACTTGTGCCAACAGGCCCAAAAACAACAAGGGTAAAGACCCAGGTTCAGAGCGCTGCTGCAAGAAGCTTGCAACCAAAAGCTGCGTCACCAGAAAATTGGACATCCACCTGGTAAAACTTTGGAAAAAAAGTGATGAAAAAAAATGTTTTTTCTTTTATTGTAAAAAATTAAAGTTACACCCAAGCACATACCATCCTCACATACACCCCACAAAATATTGAGGCCCCCACCTCCACATAAACGCATGTACAAACTTAAAAGCACACGCTGGGGAGCCTACGCATGAAACCGTTGATTGCGATACACATGTTACATATCAACGCACACACCAGAATGAGAGCAATTGTAGCACCAGACCTCCTCTAACACTAAACTGGTGACCTATAAGCAGCTTTAAAAGTGTCGACCTATAGAAAATATAGGGTACTGAAGTTTGTCGCCATTTCATGTTTTAAGGTTTGACAAGTTTGATATCTATTTACTCGATGCAACCTCATCTTTTATATTTTACAAAAAAAAAGGTAATTTATTGCTTTTTTGTGCCCTAAAATTAACTTGTATTTTTTACCAACGTTTTGTGGTAAAATCATGCGACATAAAAAATTGAAAGTACCACTATTATATTCTCTAGGGTCTCTGCTTTCTGGTATTGAAAAGGGTTAAAGTATAGGCGCTAACCCACGCTTTCCTGAGGAGCAGCCAATTGTTGTGCATTACACTGCAAGGTCTCCCCCCTCCATGCTAGTCCCTGGGTGCGGTGCTGGAGAGAGGCGGGGGGGGGGGGGGATATAAACAGTGCAATGTTAAAAATATTACACGTTTAAGTCCCCATAAAGCCTCTTGTTTTTAAAAGTCCCAGACATTCCTAAAATCACCTCCGATTTAAATAAGTTTTGGTAAAAAAAATTTTTTATATTTTTAATCTGGACAAGTAGATTGTCATGAGGAACAAGTAGATTGGGGCCTCGATTTAGTCCCTGGACAAGTAGTTTTTTTTCCAAAAATTATATATTTATTAACGGAGTATTTTAACTGAGGGTCAGACATGAAACTGAAGGGTGGAGGGTAAATACACGGCTCAAAAAAGATAAAGAAACACTATTTAAATCAGAGTATAGCATCAAGTCAATTAAACTCCTGGGATATTGATCTAGTAAGTTAAGTAGCAGAGGGGGTTGTTAATCAGTTTCAGCTGCTTTGGTGTTAATGAAATTAACAGGTGCACTAGATGGGCAACAATGAGACGACTCCCAAAACAGGAATGGTTTTACAGGTGGAGGCCACTGACTGACATTTTTCCTACTCATCTTTTCTGACTGTTTTTCACTAGCTTTGCATTTGGCTAGAGTCAGTGTCACTACTGGTAATATGAGGCAATACCTGGACAATACAGAGGTTGCACAGGTCCAACTCCTCCAGGATGGAACATCAATACGTGACATCGCCAAAAGGTTTGCTGTGTCTCCCAGCACAGTCTCAAGAGCATGGAGGAGTTTCCAGGAGACAGGCAGCTACTCTAGGAGAGCTGCACAGGGCTGTAGAAGGTCATTAACCCATCAGCAGGTCCGGTATCTGCTCCTTTGTGCAAGGAAGAACAAGATGAGCACTGCCAGAGCCCTACAACATGACCTCCAGCAGGCCACTGGTGTGAATGGGTCTGACCAAAAAAATCAGAAACCGACTTCATGGAGTGTGGCCTGAGGGCCCGATGTCCTCTAGTGGGCCCTATGCTCACTGCCAGCACCACAGAGCTCGACTGGCATTTGCCACTGAGCACCAAAAATGGTCAGGTCTGCCACTGGCGCACTGTGCTTTTAAAAGGCGAGAACAGCAATAGTTCAGCAAGACTGTTTTGGTGGTGGGTCAGTGATGGTCTGGGGAGGCATATCCATGAAGGGACGCACAGACCTCTACAAGCTAGACAATGGCACCCCGATTGCCATTAGGTATCAAGATGAAATCTTTGGACCCACTGTCAGACCCTATGCTGGTGCAGTGGGTCCTGGGTTCCTCCTGGTGCCAACAATGCCCGGCCTCATGTGGCGAGAGTATGTAGGCAGTTCGTGGAGGATGAAGGAATTACTACCATTGAATGGCTCCCACGCTCACCTCACCTAAATCCAATAGAACACCTCTGGGATATCATGCTTCGGTCCATTCATGGCCGTCTTGTTGCACCTCAGACTGTCCAGGAGCTCAGTGATGCCCTTGTCCAGATCTGGGAGGAAACACCCCAGGACACCATCCGCCATCTCATTAGGAGCATGCCCTGACATTGTCAGGCACACATACAAGCACGTGTGGGCCACACAGACTACGGAGTACCATTTTGAGTTGCTGCAATGAAATTTCAGCAAAATGGACTAACCTGCTGCATCATTTATTTTTTCACTTTGATTTTCGGGGTGTCTTTGGATTTCAGTCCTCTGTAGGCTGATAATTTTCATTTCCACAAACGATGGGGCATGCTTATTTTCCTAACACATTACCCAGTCCATATCAATATAGTTATAAAAGCATGATATTTTTCTCCATTGAGATCTGATGTGCTTTCAAAGTGTTCCTTTATTTTTTTTGAGCAGTGTACAAATCTTTTATAGTAAATTAGTACTAAAGGATGAGACTTTTTAAAGCATATAATCTTTGTTTTAAATATTGCACAATACTGGTAAGCTTTTACTTTTAAATTTAATTGTAATGCCTTATATTACCTTCAGTCTATCAGCCTCCTGCTTCTCTGGGTTCAGATGCTGATCTTCCCTGCACACAGCCATTAAAGTGATTGTAAACATAGGATTTTTTTTTTTTTTTTTTTTTTTTAAAACAATCTTGTCATACTTACATGCTCTGTGTAAGTTTTGCACAGAGCAGCCCTGACCCTCCACTTCTGGGTTCCCCCACCAGCGTTTCTGACTCCTCCTACCTTCAGAGTGCCCCTATAGCAAGCTGCAATAGTATAGAGTTCCCCTATAGCAAGGAAAAAAAAAAAAAACTGCTGCCTTTATCACTGCCTGCTCCTTCCCAGGACTACATGTCCCCACGATGCATTGCTCCTCACATTCACAAGTTCTCATGCACTGACATGTATGAGCAGGAGAACTGAGCTGTATGTGTGCTGCAATGTATTTTCTGATATGTAAACATTATGTAATGCATTCTATATGCATGCCAATTTATCGGCTAACCAACCAATTGCTTGTGAAAATTTCTGACAACTATTTTCATAATGGATTAGAATTCTGTCGATTAGTTTTAGCCCTATAAAGATGCCTAGTGTCTAAAAGGCACAGGATAAGTCAAAAGATCTGGTGGAGTGTGTAAGAGCTCAGACTGAGATTTTTGTTTAGAGCATATTCTTACGCAATCAAATCCCTTATCCACTGTGGAATGTATTAATTTATTACAGGTACTTATATAGCACCATCAATTTACACAGCGCTTTACACATATTTTACATTCACATCAGTCCCTGCCCCTCGAGCGTACAATCTATGGTCCCCAACTCACATTCATACATACATATACTAGGGTCTATTTTAGATAGGAGCCAATTAACCTACCAGCATATCTTTGCATGTTTTCCCTGTGTCTGTGTGGATTTCTTCCGGGTACTCTGGTTTCCTCAAACACACCAATCTCCAGGAAGGTAGTGCTGTGGATAGGATGCAAACCAACGACCTTAGCGCTGCTAGGCAGACATACTAACCAATTATCCACTCTGCTGCAACCTGTGGAATGGTGAACCTTAAAACAGGATGTCTTTTGCGAGTAATCAAGGACACTTAATGGCTCTGACAATATCCACCCAATGTAGATTGATTTCTCTTGGGTGCTTAGGAGCAGGGTAAA